CCAGCATCTGCAGTTCCTACTATCCCTGCATCTCTGAGGTGGCCAGGTCTCTATGGGCAGCCACCTGGTTTAAAGCTGTGCTACCTAAAGGTGGATTTAACATTTCAGGAAATCAGCACTGAATAAAGAAGTAGCATACTGAAATTAAAAAAAGGAGAAAGCACTTTCAGGAACAGCAGAAAACCCTTAGATTAAGATCTAAAACAAGATTCAAACAAAAATAGAAAAGATCACTAAATCTTCCCTTTTCTTAAGCATTTCATCAGGATGGAGAGTGACTTTCTTCCACTCAAGTGCTGTGGGTTCTTCGGTGACTAAGCAGTGGAGTGTTGTTCTGCACATCCTACCACAGGTGGGGTAGGTGGCATCCGATCAAATGGGTGGGGGCCATGCCAATTTTTATATGTTCCTTCCACAGTTTATGTTCAGCCTCAACCTGGTCTGTTGGAGGCTCTCAAAAGGCACTCTCTCGGATGCTTCTTCTCCAGTTTGGATAGTCTGGGCTACAGAATTCGTGAATTTGTGAGAATATTACATTCTTTGCGCTTGATGCATTCCTCTACCCTTCAGGCAGCTGCTTGCTGTGATGAAGCTCGGAGTTCAGCGATTATTTTGGAAGTCGGGCATGCAAACGATGTTGCCCACCCAACACAGCCGATTGACTGTAACCAGTGCTTTGATGCTGGGGACATTGGCCTGAGAGGGGGCACTGATACTGGAGTGTCTGTCCTGCCAGTAGATTTGCAATTTTTGGCAAAGGCATTGTTCATGATATTTCAAACTGAGGTATTTACTCTAAATTGCCCATGTCTCTAATGCATTCAGGTGGACTGACACTACTGCTGCCTGTAGCCCATGAGGTTGATGTAGGGTTCAAGGTCTTGGTCATCAAAACACACTGTCCGTCAGCTGGCACAAAGGCTGCACTGGACAAAAGGAGATGCCGAATTTCACTGCCAATATCTGCCCTTGCTGAGGAGGTTCCCAAGGTATGGGAATTGATCTGCATTATCCAGTGGCTCATTGTGAATCTGGATATTTGGGGGTTACACATTATGTAATGAAAGCAGGCTGGTAGAGTCACTTTGACTTCTGAATGCTTAGCCTAAGGCTCTTTCATTCATAAGCTTCCACAAACACTCTGCAATAGTTTAGAGCTCAGCCTTAAGTATCCGCACATGCAAGAGTAATCTATAAGGCACACGTGGAGTGCACAAAAGTAAAACTGAGAGTGAAAAGAAAAAGCAAAAACCAGACAACACAGGAGAAACATTGCTGAAGGCACATACAGAGTAACTGTATTATAGGAATACTGAAACATTTCCACATACCAATAGTGTCTGAAAAATGCAAAAGAACAAAGGACTGACAGCAAATCCCCCAGCATGAACTTGAAGGCCAATGCCCTTTCTGGGTTTAAACTTGTTAAAGAAAGAATGCAGCTACGCTTCTGAGAGCAGGCAGCTGCAGAACAAGTTAAACAGCAGCGAAAGTACTGACAGCAGCTGATAATGAGGGGTTGCAGAGTCAATAACTTGAGCTTACCTGAAGATGTCCAGAAAGACCCTGCAAAGAGATGGAAAGTGCTCAAAGGTCAGCTGTAAGACTTAATTTTTGAATTAACTGCCCTACCAGCTAGTCACAGGAAGCAACGGATCAAGGTGACAAATGCAATTTTTCAAAAACTGAACTGTCAGAACGAATAACGGAGTTAGTGATTACTCTACATTTTTCAAAGTGTCCCAAAATGGCCTTTTTAAACTCAGCATTAACTAACTGCTAGTAAATAGCAGAAACTAAGTAGTCTTAGTTGCAGCCAACAGTACTGGCACTGGAGCAAGATCACAAAAAGCAAACAAGCAAGCTGTGCTTCAAGTGTAGTCTATCACACCCTCCACAAAATTGTCCTACATTCAAACATCTGTGCAAGACATGCAGAACAAAAGGACACCGGGGCTGAATATGCAATAAATCTGACTTCGGTGCTGTGGCCTGAGGCTACAACTGGGCACAACTAAACAGCAGACACAGCAGTAAGTCAAAAATCACCAAGGACTGCCCCAGAGACCTATGTAAACTAAAGCCAATGTACAAAGCTCACAGAAAAACAGAGCAGAGCAGAGTCAAGATCCAGAGTAGAACAGCTTCCAAAGAAAAGCTTGCCACATTGTGCACGTGAAGTCAGGAAAGTACAAGCTTTTGCCAATATAATGTGTCAAAAGAAGAACAGGTGCAAACACAAAACGAAAAGTGGCATGGGAGCTAGTGCAATGCACCTACCAGTCCAAATTCTGAAGGACATGTACCTGAATAGTTGGAACTCAAAAGGTGCAACTGACAACTATGACATTAATTGCATACAATGGGTCACCCAGAAGGTACAAAACAATACACTGGTACACTAACTACAGTACTGAAACCAAAAACATTTTATTTGATCGGTACAAACAGATAAGCAGCGGCAGGACTACCTACATGAATGGATCTCACATTCGTCACTACCCATGAGATCACCAAGGCAGCAGAACAGACCTGGCATTGAGTCAGTTTAGTATTTACAATAATTGTAGGCAGTAAGGTTCAACTGTCTGAAACTTTAGTGTTGAACCAAAGGAGATGCAATTCTGTCAAAAGACCTTCCTAGAAAGTGCAGCATGCTCATACAAGAAAAGCTGAAGTGCAAATTGGGTTAACATCATCTATCGTATACCTCAGCAGAAAGCTGGTGCATTTCAGTGACGATGTACTAAAGGAGAACAGTGCAATCAGGGTATGGCTAGGCTCAAATCATCCAAATCTCTCAAAGAGATGCCCACATAGGATTCCATCACTAAAAGGAACTGAATCCCAAATTCACAGGAGGTAAATTCTTCTCCAAGTGAGATGCCAAACATGGATATTGATCTGTACACATAGCGGAGGAATCTCCTGAAGGTAGTCACTTCCTAACACCACTTGAAAAATACTGCTATCAGTATTTCGCTGGAGATCCATGCTATATTGAAAGGGCTGGGACCATGCATCATTCAGGATGGGAAACCAATTGTGTTCAGATCCAAAAGTTCCTCTCAAGCACAAAGCAATTACTCCAACACATAATGCAAGACACTTACTTTTGTATTTGGGATCACAAGATTCCATATTTACCTGTTCATTAAGCAGTCAATAAAGAAACCAATCACAAACATCACTGGTGATTTGGCAGAAAACACTAACAAGGACATTATGCTGACTACACTGAATTCTAGCTAAAACGCAGGGGATGACTTCAAAAATCTATAACAAACCCGATACCAAACTGGTCACTTCTGAAATACTGAAGAGGTTGCCAAATCCAATCTGTAAGTGGACAGCATGAAAAAAAAAAGTGACCAAATTTAATCAGAAGCTGCTACTAACCAACAACCAGATAAGTGGTCTTTTTGGTCTTCCAGGTCTTCCAGAAATGAGCTCAGTATCTCACATGTATCTTTCTGGTTCCAAGATGGCGCCGGGGTAGTAGGGGTGCATGTGGGCTCTTGCCCAGGGCTCATCCACTCCTATCAACTTTTTCTCTTTTCATTTTTTCTTGTTTTTCTTTTCTTTGGCAGGTTAGTCGACAGGATCGACAGCGGGCTGTGTGCAGAGGGCTGGCAGTCAGAGGCAGTATCAGATGCGGCACTTCCCAGCAATTGGAGGCGACGACAGCAAGTGAGGCTACAGCAGCAGTGTGGTATGCCTACAGTGGGGACTCCTGGGGTCAAGGCAGTGGCAGAGCCAGAGCCAGAGACACCTGGTTGTGGTCACGGTAGGCCTGGAGCGTGGGCTCCTGGCTATTGGTGAGGTGGCAGCAGCAGCTGGTTGTCTGGCGAGTGTGGGTTCAGTATGGGACTCAGCCATGGCATCAGCGAGGCAGGCTTGGTTGTGAGCAGATGGCGCTGAAAGAGTGGCAACTCCTACGATGGTGGGTCCAGCACAGACAGCAGCAAGGCGATGGAGGGGTGGCAGCACAAGTGTTGTGTCGCTGGTGAGCCAACTGCGGACTCATGGTGGAGGAGGCAGAATGAAGATATAACTGAGAGTCTATCTTCTTACTCTTTTTATTCTTAAACTGTTCAAAATGGTATTGGATTGTGGCAACAGCTGAAGCTTTTCACTGTATTTTACTGCATTATTCATTGTAAAATGCGAAGGGCCAATAAATCATTCAAATTCCAATTAAAAATGTATTACTTTCAAAGGAAAACAAATACATGAGCCCAAAGCTCTCCACCTGGCAATACTGTTGCAAGTACACCAAGGACATATCGGCATGGAGCAGATGAGACAACTATTAGGTGATTTGTTCTTCTGGCCATGGGTCAAAGACAACACTAAAAGATTAGGGAGAATGTACAAGACATGCCAGAGGCACCAGCTACAACAATGTTTGGAACCTCTATATTCATGAGTTTGTGTCAGTTCCTTGGTCCAAAACTGCCAGTGATCTATTTCCTGTAAATGGGGTCAACTCTAATCAACACCAATTATTTCTTCAAAATTTTAATTCTCAGACAGATGAAGACACTTCAAGCGTGTCAGTGGCAGAAAATTAAGTGCTTCATTCAGTCTATTTATAGCTGAGGAGATCTCTTTCAAAAGGCTGTTGTATATGAGCAGACCTTTTGGCACAAATGTTCCCAATCAGGAGTCCTCACCATATTGCCCCAGATTAAATGGTCTCATTGAGCAAGTGGCTCATATTAGTAAATTACTCATCCTGAAATGTAGTGTAACAAAATGAGGTTTTTGTGTTGCCATAATGGACATCACAGCCATATCTCTGAATATAGGATAACCATCACCAGCAGAGATCAACTTCGGGAGGTAGGTGACATCAAACTTGCCAAGCCAACACTTATTCAAATTTTCTGACATGCAGGACACACTTTCTGAAATATAATGAAGGTTGAAGATAACGTGGAACTACTTCAATACACGGCCAAAAGATCAGAGTCACACATACCATTATAGAAACATGCCCACTTGCAGAGGCAAAGTTGGCAGTGCGCCAAAGTCTTGCGAAGTCATAACACTCAATGGAGCAATGTTGAGGAACAGAAGATCCCCAAGGGAAATGTACAAACCACATGAAAGAACACAACAAGATAATGACTGTGAGACGGAACACCAGGAAAATGACCAGCATACTGCTAACAAACAGTCAAGGATAAAATCCATATCTCCTGAAGGTTACACCATAACAAGATATGGAAGGGCTATCAAACTGCTGTAACAGTAAAGACCTTATTGTTTTCATTACATTTTACATTCATTATCTCTGCTCAAAGTTTATAACCCCTGTGTCTGTATAATTAATTTTATTATCCAACATTTACGAATTTTCATTTGCAACAGACAGAAACTACCTTTTCTAAAATAAAAGGTGGAGTGCAAACTACCATTTTAACAGTGATGTACCTTTAAGAAGTTCAACAGATAGATGAGTCAGGTAGCTATGTGTCAACATATACCCAGAAGCCACAATCATTCTGCCTTTTAGTAGTCTGGGCATGGAATGGATATAGAGATTTGCACTGATTTAGCTGTTAGTAAACCCACCAGAGATCTTCAATTAAATGGAATTCACGTGTTTCATTTATTCACCTCAATTATTAACATTATTACCAACTTGGATAATGGCAGAGAAAGTCATATCTAAATTTGCTGATTACAAAGTTAGGTGGCATTGTCGACAATGTAGATGATTGTTGAAATTACAAAGAGAGAGAGATCGATAGACTACGTGAATGGGCAGCACTATGGCAGAAGGAGGTCAATGTAAGCAAGTGTGAGGTTATCCATTTTGATTGCAAAAGGATAGATCAACATACTTTCTAGATGGCATGAAGTTAAATACAAAAGCTGTACAAAGAGACTCGGAGGTTCAGGTGCATAAATCTTTCCAATATCATGAATAGGTGCAGAAAATAACCAAGAAACCTAATGGAATGCTGGCCTTTATATCTAGAGGACTGGAGTACAAGGATGAAGAAGTTATGCTGCAATTATACAAAACACTGGTTAGGCCCCACTTGGACTAATTCAGGCAGATCTGGGCATCACACTTTAGGAAGGAGTACAATGTAGGTTTACAAGAATGATACTTGGATTGCAAGGGTTAAGCTATGAGGAGAGATTATACAAGTTAGGCCTGTATTCTCCAGAAGTCAGCAAATTGAAAGTTGATCTGATCTGGGTGTTCAAGGTATTAACAGAAAAAGAAATAAGCTATTTCCTTTGGTTGGGGATTGCAGAACCATGGGGCATAGTCTGAGAATTAGGGCCAGACTATTCAAGACAGATATGTTTGGAACTCTCTTCCACAAATGGCAGTGGATGCTGGGTCAGTTGTTAATTTTAAATATGAAATAGGTTAGATTCTTATTAAGCAAAGGTTTTGACAGATATGAGCCAAAGGCAGGTATATAGATTAAGGCCACCAATCAGCAATGATCTTCCTGAATGGTCTGCTCCTGTGCCTACATGCTACTTTCAGAGAGTGCAAGGTGATCAATTATTCAAAGGTTGATGTAAAGAAAGGCACTGCACAGGTTCTAAACATGAAATAATTCATTTTAATACGGAAATCTTACCTTAAAAGGCATGTTTGAACACAAGAGGTTGGAACACTCAGATGGAATAGAGGATGTAAAAGATCTGAAACAATTCGACTAATAGCTTGTGGCTAAATCAAATTGCTGGACTTACTACGATGAAAAATGTATGATTTACAAATACATATATCAGTTTTTAAAAAACAAACTAGTGGCATATTATGAATGTTGATCTAAATTTTGTGAAGGGGTTTAAAAAATTAAACTAGGGTACTCATCCTGAAACCATGATTTCAAACAAGTATGCGGCCTGCTGGATTGTAAATGGAAGTTTGATTATTTTGTAAGGGTTTGAGAGAGGAGAAAAATCATTATTAAGCTAGTTTAGCAGAAGCTAGAACGATCACTTTTTTTTAAAAAAACTTTTTAAATAAGTTTTTGAATTCAGTTGGAAATAGGCTATATTGAAGTTAAATGCAAGAATAATTTCTCATAGAAAAAGAGTTCTTCAAAGCAGATAAAGGAATAAGTTACTCCAGTGCAAGGGTTTCAGTTTGTGAAAACTTCAAAACCAGGAGTGTCTGGTTAGAAATCAGCCTTGGTTATTCAAAGCTGAGAAAAAGTCTAAAAATCTCAGTTGTGTAAGTCACAGGGAAAAGCTTTGTAGTTCATAGGACCAGAACTGAGAAGCAGTTAAATCAACCTACAGAATGGTAAAATTGTAAAGAATTAAAGTGATGACGTCAGGGTGTAGATGGGAAATTGCTTTGCTGGGTGTTCATTTATTTTCTTTTTTCGGTTTATGTAATAAACTCATGTTTCATTTTTAAAAGTAAATCTGCAACCCAGCATGCTTATGTGAGATTGAAAAGACTGCCTTGTTAAATTGAAAAAGGAACAAAAATATGATCCAAAAACAAGCAAAGAATTGCAGGTGCTGGAAATCAGAAACAATAGAAATTGCTGGCAAAACTCAATAGGTCTGGCAGCAACTGCTCGGAAGAGGCAGAGTTAACATTTTAGGTTTTGAAGAAAGGTCACTGGACTCGAAACGTCAAAAAAATATGATCTATCAAGCCTGATTTCATTCTGGGGCCTGACGCATCCAGTAATAACATTAACTAGGATCATAAAAGTACAAGCAAACATATTCACTAAGCACTGAAAATATATTTTTGCGATCCCAGAAGTAAATGAAGATTATGTTAATAAGTTTAGGTACAAGCGCCAGAACTATTGGGAAAAACTATCACTGCCAAATTGAGCCTCCGATGATATTTTCTATTTGTACTTAAGCTTTTTTTAAATATACAGCCAGTAAATCTCTCTCAATAACACAAACTAAATTAGTCACTGTTTACCATTCAAAAGTCTATAAAAATAGCACAAAAGCCATTTTTAAAAAGTAAATTCTTCTTACAAGTAAACCATGGTCACAAACTTACATCATTGATCATTTCAATCAGCTCAAATGATTTAACATTTTTGTCCCACTTCACTCTCGGCCCCTCAGGCACAGGTTTTAAACACTCCCATACATCCTTTGGCGCAGCTTTAATTATCCCTTCGCCTTTGTATCTGAATCAAAGACCACAACAGAAAAGGTAAAGTATCAGAACTGTAATTATGCTAATAATTAACAATCACGTTATAACTGTTGTTAGGTATTTTCCCCAAACTGTTAAATCTTGCAGTAGCATAGGAATAAGTACAAGAAAAATGTCTCTGCAGTGGAGGACAAGGGATATCTTTGGTACATCACAGAATCTTTTATTCTGCTTGCAACCCATACAGCATATTTTTACCAATTCCATTAAGGAGCAATCCACATTAATTTTTGTAGTTGATCCAGGGTATGGGTTGCTAAAATGTTAGTTTTAGCAAAGTAGTGACCATAGTGTCTCTAGTTCCTGAGTGAGACTAGGATTCAGATTACCCTCCATTTTCACTCCCTTTTCTTGGTTCTAGGAAAGAAAATTGGATGAACATGTGAATTCGACAAGGTTACAGATATTCTACTTCTGCTGTTTTCAATAGTGTTGAGCACAGTGCTAGTCTCATTGCAACAACTTTTCCAGGGCATAATCTCACACTTCGTAAACTTCTCACCCTCCCTCAGATGGGAGTCCTTCACTCCACTATCAACAGCCACAACTTCAACTACCAAGGTTCCATACCCTGGAATACTCTACTTCAACAGATACTTGTTATAGAGTCGTACAGCATGGAAACACACCCTTTGGTCCAACTAGTCTATGCCAAACATAATCCCAAACTAAACTAGTCCGACCTGCCTGCTCCTGGCCCATATCCCACCAAACCCTTTCTATTCACGTATCTATCCAAATGTCTTTTAAACATTGTAATTGTATTCACATCCACCACTTCCTCAGGAAGTTCATTCCACAACCAACCACCCACCCACTGTGTAAAAAAATTGCCCCGGTGTCTTTTTTAAAATCTCCTCTCACCTCAAAAACGTGTCCCCTAGTCTTGAAACCCCCATCCTAGGAAAAGACAACTACCATTAACTATCTATATCTCTCATTATTTTATGAACTTCTATCGCCTCGCAACCTCCCATGCTCCAGTGAAAGAAGTCCCAGCCTTTCTCTAACTCAAACCTTCCATACATTCTGGTAAATCTCTTCTGAACCCTGTCCAGCTTAATAATATCCTTCCCGTCACTGGGCAACTAGAATTGAACACAGTATTCCAGAGGAGGTCTCACCATTGCCGTGAAGGAGGACTGAGGCTCCAAAAGCTTGCGTTTTCAAATAAACCTGTTGGACTATAACTTGGAATTGTGTGATTTCTAACCCTGTACAACCTTAACATGACTTTCCAACTCCCAAATTCAAAGGACTGAGCAATGAAGGCAAGCATGCCAAATGCCTTTCTTCAAACTTTGGGCACTTCCTTTTGCTCCATTCCCATTTCCACGAATAAGTCTTTGTGAAATGCTGTGGGGCATTTCTTGTGTTAAAGGCACCAAAGAACTGTAGTATAATGTTCATAGGGATGACACGTCTGACAACTGATGATCTTACACTTGGCAAGTTTTCACTCTGGTTTTGCACTCTGGCCTGCCCTTCTGCATACAGTCAGGGTGAATCGAATTGAAACTAACCAGGTATCTGATTGTCACTAAGGACTATTGATGCTGTTAACAACTGGAGATGAGAAAATATCTTCAAACCATATCCATGCAGGAACTCTTATCACATGAGGGAGACAGTGTACAGTGGTAAAGTGATTGAAGTGGGAGACAAGGTTTCAAATCCCATCACTGTAGCTCGTGGAATTTAAATTCAATTCTGAAGTCCATAATTTAGTCTCAGTGTGGCGACCATGACAACTTTCATTAATTGGCATTGTTCACTTAGGGAAGGAAGTCTGCCATCTTCAACCAGACTGGCCTATACACGGCTCCTGGCATACACAAAATTGGCTGTCGTCATTGAAATGACCCTACAAGTCATTCAAAACAAGGACAATTAGGGATGGGGAACACATCACTAACAACGTCCTCTTTCCATTAAAGATTAAAAATATACATATGTATATAGATATCTAAGGTTTTAGAGTAGATTGTGGATGTTGTGGTTGGTTGGCTCGCTGAGCTGGTTCGTTGTTCCGCAGACGTTTCATTACCCTGCTGGGTAATATCATCAGTGCAGCCTCCAATGAAGCGTTTTCCCGCCTGTTTTTTAAACTCTGGTGTCCGTTGAGCTGGATTACCTCACTTCTGGTTTTCCTTTGCAATGGAGTGTATATGGGGTCTAGCTCTATGTGTTTGTTGATAGCTTTCTAAGTGGAGAACTACGCTTCTAGGAATTCCTGTGCTTGTCTTTGCCTTGCCTGTCCCAGTTGAATTGGTGGTTTTCCTTATCCATGTGGATGGAGATGAGTGAGTATCGGTCGTGTCTTTTTGTTGCCAGTTAATGTTCGTGTACCCTTGTTGCTAATTTCCTTCCTGTCTGTCCGATGTAATGTTTGTCGCAGTCTCTGGAGGGAATCTTGTATATGACATTGGTTCTGCCCATAGCAGGTAGTGGGCCTTTGGTTCGGGTGAGCAGTTGGCGTAGGGTTGATGTGGGTTTGTGCGCTACTCTGATGCCCAGTGGTCGTAGGAGTCTTGTGGTCAGCTCAGATATGTTCTTGATGTAGGTAGCATGATGAGTGTGTCGGAGCATGTAGTATCTTCCTGGTGTTGATCGTGTGATAGGCATCTTCTGACCCAGTTTTTCGGGATCCATTGTCTTTGAATACTTGGAAGAGGTGCTCTTCTTATTTTTGGCGTAGTTCTGTGCTGCTGCATGTGTTGTTGCCCGTTTAAATAATGTTCTCATGCACCTTCATTTGTGTGTGTTAGGGTGGTGGTTGTTGAAATTCAGTACTTGGTCAGTATGTGTGACTTTCCTGTGTACCTTTGCTGCACTGATGATGTTACCCCGCAGGGTAATGAAACGTCTGCGGAACAATGAACCAGCTCAGCAAGCCAACCGACCACAATATAAAAGATATAAATATAAATAATCAGAAAAGAACATTAGCCCTTCTACACAAGCTACAGGTAGACATCGATCCTGAACAGGGGACATGTACAAACACCCCAAAATCCTGGTAGACACTCAAATCTGCAAAAAGGCTTATGAATCACCACAACAGACCAAGCATTCTGTTCTCAGGAGCAGAAGGAAAGTATTAATCATCAATAATATTCCTCTAATTAATTAGCTTATAGATGACCCATACCTCAAGTCCATTTTCCTACCTTTCCTTTAATTCCCTCAATACTGTCACTTAACTCAAACCTATTGACCTCCACCTCAAATATTCTGACTGTCTGTTTAAGGGAGAGAATTTCAGGTTTCCACAATCCTGTGTGGAAAGCTTTAATTATGGGATCAATACACAAATGGGAGATTCTTCACATATTTATGCTTATTCTGACCTTCAAGAGTTGGCATAAAATTGTTTAATCAAAAATGTTGGTGGCACCAATCCATGCAACATGCATTCAGATTGACTATGAACAACAGTTAAATATCACCAGCATTGCATTCCCAGGTGTACAAAAAGCTGTATCAGTTACCACACAGTCTACTTCATCAGAACTACTCCCACAGAGGATTGCTCCTCAAATAAATAATAAGCATACAACTATCTCCACACTCACAAGTTTCCAGAATATTCTGATGATGGTCTCCAGGACACACAAACTTCATTCTACCAACAAAGAAAAACACAAGTAAGTAGTTAAACTTTATGTTTTGCACAAATAAGTCTCCAAACTTAGAAAAGGCACACACTTCTGTACAAGCAAAGAATGTGAATGTCATGGCTTCAAATAATTCAGGATTACTTTTGGCATTGATTAGGGTATCTGTGTATCATGCAATCAATTGTACAATATTGTTTTATTTATTGCAAATACTTTGAGGGGTAGCTTTGGACAGAGTTTTTGGGCATCATTATGTGGCAATTAAATACAATTCTTTTACTATTAAAATTTTTAAAAAATGCAATTAAAAGCTAGGTTAATTGTAACACAGTTTAAGGATGGAATGCACTTATAATTACACAACCAACATCAAGGGATTTAGTCTTGTATTGACATTGGCTGTATTATACTACAACTGCATAGTGAATGGTCCAACTTCACAAAGTAGAACAAGGCTCGAGGGACACAATTATACGCCGTATTTAGAGGTGATCCTAAGTAAAGATTGCTTTGTAACAATCTTAAAGATTGAAGAATGAATGCTATAAAACCAACACTTGTCCCAGAGAGGAGATAACAATCACAATAGCAAAAACTTGATAGCCACTGTGATCAGCAGACTCGTTTTGTTCCAAAGTATTTCAGAAAAATATTACCATAGGTCTGGAAAGACAGTTGGTTATTGAATATTAAATAGATAATGCGAATTTCCCTGTAAACTCCCAAACAAAATTTATGCTGTTCACTTCATTAGACTATCCCAACCATTTGTTACTAACAAGAATGGATATTCAAAATTGCAGTGAGGTAGACAGGAGAAACAGGGTAACAAACATTTCAGAAAAGACACAAAAATTTCAGCCTATATTAACAACTCCAGAAGTGCTTTTTTTAAAAAAAGTTTATTCGTGAGATATGGGCATCACTGATTGAATCAGCATTTAATGCCAATATTTGGTTAAACAGATAGATTTTATTTAGTATCTTAAAAAGTGGAGAAAGTAGTAACTGGCAGCAGGGCTGAAGGAGTAAATTTCAGAGGCTTAGAGCCTCAGCAGCTTGTTGGAGTGTTGGTATTTCAGAAGGCTGTAGGGGATCAAAGAAAGAAAGGGCTGAAGCTGTGGCTGAATTTTAAAACAAGAATGAGAATGTTAAAACCTAGGAGCTACTCAAAGGAGCCAATAAAGGTAAGTGAGGAAAGGGGTAATGGATGAATGAAATCTAGTGCTTTTTCTTATTTGTTCACAGATGTGGGTGTCGCTGTCTAGGCTAGCCCTTATTGCCCACCCCTAATTGCCCAGAGGGCAGTTAAGAATCAACCAAATTGCTTGAGTGTGAAGTTACACGTACGCCAGACCAGGTAAGAACAGCAATTTCCATCCTCAAAAGGACATTAGGGAACTGGATGAGTTTTTACAACAACTGACAATGGTTACATAGTCGCCATGAGAATCATAGAATCTCTGCAGTAGAAAGAGGCTATTCAGCCCATTGAATCTACATTGAACTCCCTGCCCCACCCCTCTCCCCACAAACAGCATCCCATGCAGACCAAGCCTCCCACCCTATCCCTGTAACCCTGCATTTACCATTGTTCATCCACCTAACCCACACATTTTGGCAGGTGAAGATGTAAGTAAGAGATTCATTCTTTATGATGCTAATATCTTCATTTCCACTATGGCATCTTAACATCAAATTCAGATATTTTAAAGATGAGAAGAATGAAGGTGAACCAAAGAAAACACAATTTTGGCCCTCAGTTAATTAAAATCAGATTGTTTGAAGTCTAATTAAACTGCCAACAAATTTAATTTTGCTCAACTCTTTCCTATCCTCCCAAAGGGCCAATAGAGCAGCATTCTGCCTTTTTTTACATGCTTCAGCCAACAATCTTAGCATGGTTTAAGTAGCTCTTGTGGTACAGTGGTAATATCCCTACCACTTAGCAAGGAGGTCTGGATTCACGTACCACCTGCTACAGAGGCGTGTACTAACATCTCCGAATAGGCTGATTAAAAAAAATCTAGTAAAAACATCTAGTGTGATGGTTTAGGATTTAAAGGATCAAAGGCACCAACAACTTCTTCCAATTCCCAGACAGGAAATATTGAGCAGATTGGAGGGACTAAAATTCCTATTCCTGTTCTTGTTTGTGCGTTGATAGTTTACAAAATCAAAACACAAAGATATGGACGCAAACCTCTCCTCCTTTAAGATACTTTTTAAGATCTCCCTCTTTTACGAAATTGTTGGCCACCTGTCCTGATTCCTTATGTGGCCGAGTGTCAAAATCTGCCTGACAACATCTCAAGAGACATCTGTGACATTCTACGTTAAAAGGTACTACAAGTTATTGTTGTGTGGTCCTTTATGAACAGATTGTCAGGCCAAGGTCCATGGTCACATGGCATACTTATAATTTGGACAAACTTGATATTTACTTGGAACAGTTATAAGGAACAGTAATAAACCAAAGACAGGATGCCAGCAGGAAGTAATTAATTACATCAAATCTGTCATTTACATCAACCTTAATCCAAGATTGGTAGGTGGAAAAACAAGTCCATTTTGTAGATTGTAGTTCACTTCTCAGCCTATTCTAGTTTTGTCCTTCATTTCCCCTGCAATGCCCTGCTGCCCTCCACACACCTAATTTCTTTCTCCCACTCTTCATTTACCCAAACCCCTCCTTCCTTACTGTTATTTCTCCTTCCCAATCCCTTCGTTTCTCCTTTCCTCCCTCTTCATTTCTCCCTACCACCCTAACTCATCATATCCCTACCAACCTCATTATTCCTCTCCCTTATTGTTCTGCCTGTATTCTCCCTTATACCCTTCACTTCCTGCAGCCCTCCATCCACCTTCCTTCCATCTTTCATTTTCATTGCATCATTCCCTGCCTATCTCATTTGCTCCTTTCATACACTCCCTTCCCTTTTATTTCGCTTCTGTCCCTACATATTTCCCTCTAAATTCTCACTGCCTGAGCATTTCCCCCTACCTCCCCCACATTTGACCCTCCCCTTCCGGTCATCCGCCTACATCACCCTCCTTACCCTCACAACTATTTCTTGCATCAATCCATATAGCTCACTTCCCAAATCCTTCCTCACTTCCCCTCCTTTACCCACTCCCATTTCATTACTCCTTTACTCCATCTCCTTCCCACATTCATTCCTCCCGCTTTCCTCTATACAATCTCTTGTTCTTCCTCCCTCAATCATACCCTCAGTTCCTCATTTCCTTGCCCCATTTCCCCTCTCCCTCCTGTATCCATTCCCTCTGCTCATTTCCGTCTTCCACCTCTCCACTTCCTTTGCCCTGTCTCTCCCTTTTTTTTCCACTCCGTCCTCACTCCACCTTCTTCACCTCATTCCTCCTTTTCCCATCACATTCATTCCTCCCTTCATTTTCTCTCCCACTCACCCTTCCTTATTCCTTCCCATCTCTCCCTCAATCAGTCCCACTCATTAATTCCCTCCGGTCACAGCCCTGATGGGAACAGTGCACTGGAAATCAAGCCCCACTATTCCACAAGTCAATACAAGACTGAAATGTGACCAATTTAATCTCCGGGATGCTTAATGCCCAACTCTGATCACAATTTAACTCAAAGAAAGTCAAACCAGGTCTCAACGCTCAAGGAAACAAAAAATTAAAGCACACAAGGTGGCAAACAGAATTATTAATTCTATTGTGCAAACTTAAACTGTACCCCCTTTAAATTCAAACAAGCACACATAGGTGACCTTGTAGAGGTTTATAAAATCATGAGGGGCATGGATAGGGTAAATAGGCACAGTCTTTTCGTCAGGGTGGGGCAGTCTAAAACTAGAGGGCATAGGTTTAAAGTGAGAGGGGAAAAGACTTAAAAGGACCTAAGGGGCAACTTTTTCACACAGAGGATGGTGCGTGTACAGAATGAGCTGTCAGAAGAAGTGGTGGAGGCTGCCACAATTACAACATTTAAAAGGCATCTGGGTGGGTACATGAATAGGAATCATTTAGGGGGATATGGGCCAAATGGGACTAGATTTATTTATGATATCTGGTCAGCATGGATGAGTTGGACCGAAGGATCTGTTTCCATGCTGTATATCTCTATGACTCTATTCATCCACAAGTCAAATAAACAAGACACATTAGAGAGGTTTTTCAGGAATATTGAGTGGAAAACATAGGCAACGAAGAACAATGTCTGTAGATCAAGAGTCCAAATCAAAAGGGGTGAAATGAGGTGACTTCCTCACAATTATTTATGTTTTGGCAGTATCACATTGTTGTCTACCACAGCAACCCTCAGTTTGGTAGCCAGTGAGGTTGACCTAGGCTTGACTTCAGTTGGGAAGCTTTACCTTTGCTGATTCTTTGAAGGTTTTTACATCCCACACTCAGACAGAGTGCGAGATTTACCTTGCTTGCATGCTCAATGGCCACTGACCCCTGTTCTGACCGAACTGCGATCGAATAGCAACCCAAAAGCTGTTGCTGGGCAGTTTCTTTTTCAACGCAAAGGCACATGGGCCAGCTAATATCAAATATGGTTTCCACAAAAGTTACATGCTCTTGTACAACCAATGAGTGAACAGCACACAGTTCCACTCTTGAATCAGATTGTAAGAAAAACAACTGATTCTTCTGTGACATCGCAGTCCAAACTTCCATTCAGTTATTTTTCACATAAAATACATGTCCTTACATATCCCCAACTCTTGGAGAGAAAAAACGGTATTATGAAATGTATTTCATCACAAGGTACATGAGACAGATAATAAACAGAAAAATTACATAATCCTTACATTCATTCACTGCCCCCCCTCTCTCATTCATTCACCATCCCTCTACTTCATCCCCTTCTCCCCTCTGATATCCCCTCTTTCATTTGCACCCCTGCATTCAACTTTCCTACCTCATCCACTCTCCTGCATTTCCCCTCCCTTCCTCATCTATTCTTCAGCCCCCCTCAATCCATCCTACATCATCCTCTCCTTCAATCCCCTTCCGAGGGCAGGTTAAAGTTTCTAGAACAGTAGAACAAAGTATAGAAACGGTCAGAAGCCTAACTTCAGGCACAGCAAATAAGGGGACAGCTACAAGAGTGGGCGGGGGAGTGGTCAGTCAATGGATGGCTGAGGGTGTTGTACTTAAATGCATGCAGTATACCAAAGTGAATGAGCAGGTTGATACTGGCAGGTACGATGTTGTAGTCATCGCAGAGATGTGGCTGCAAGGGTATCAGGGCTGGGAACTAAATATCTGAGAATACACGAAGGCAGACAGAGGAGGCTGGGTTGCCTTGCTAGCTAGAAATGAAATTAAATTGATAGCAAGAAGTGATAGCATGTTAGAAGGCACAGAATCTGTGGGTAGAGCTGAGGAACCGCAAAGGAAGACAGACACTGATTGATGGGTGTTGTGTACAGGCCTCCTAGGAGCAGTCAGGACATGGGGAAGAAAATAAATCAGGAGATAGTGCCTTTCTTACATGCCTTTTCTATCATGTGGGCGCTATCAATATACAGGTGGATGGGAAAATCAGTTTGGTAGCAGATTCCAAGAAAAGAAATTTGTGGAATATCTGAGGTTTTGTTTGGAGCAGCTTGAAAGGGAGCCCACTAGGGAAAAGGCATTCTGGATTTTGTGATATGCAATGAGGCAGACTTGCTTAAGGTGAATAAACTCCAAGGGGGCAGAGACCATAACATGATAGAATTCACCCTACAGTTTGAGAGGGAAAAGCTGCACTCAGATGTAATGGTATTATAGTTGCGTAAAGGTAACTACAATGACATGAGGGAGGAACTGGCCAGAGCATATTGGTAGGGGAGCCTACCAGGGAAGATGATAGAGCAGCAATGGCAGGATTTTCTGGGGGTAATTCGGAAGGCACAACAGAAATTCATCCTCTGCCTCATGGCAGACTGGTACAAAAAGGTGAAGTCACATGGTATCAAGGGTGAGCTGGTGAGATCGATACAGAACTGGCTTAGTGACTGGACACAGAGGGTAGCAGTGGAAAGATGCTTTTCAGAATGGAGGGTTGTGACTAATGGTGTTCCACAGGGCTCAGTGCTCATGATCTACATAAATTATTGAGAGGAAGAAGTAGCAGGTCTAAGCAGCAAGTTTGCAGACAATACAAAGGTTGGAGGAGCTGTGATAGTTAGGAGGATTGTCAAAGGATACAGAAGGATATAGATCAGTTGGAGGCATGGGCAGAAAAATGGCAGATAGAGTCTAATCTAGATAAATGCAAGGTGATGCATTTTGGAAGGTCAAGTACAGGTGGAAATTATACAGTGAATGGCAGAACCCTTAGGAATATTGATACGCAGGGGGATCTAGATGTGCAGGTCTACAGATCACTGAAGGTGGCAGTACAAGTAAGTAAGGTAGTACAAAAGGCTTATGGCATGCTTGCCTTATTGGAGGGGACAACGAGTACAAGGACAGATAAATTATGCTGCAGCTTTATAGATTTTTAGTTAGGCCACACTTGGACTATTGCATATAGTTCTGGTCACCACACTGCCAGAAGAGTGTGGATGCCTTGGAGAGGGTACAGAAAAGGTTCACCAGGATGTTGCCTGGTATGGGGGATTTTAGCGAAGAAGGTCAGTTGGATAGACTGGGTTTGATTTCACTGGAATGCAGGAGGTTGAGGGGCGACCTGAAAGAGGTTTAAGATTGTGAATGGCATCGATAGAGTAGAAGGTTTGAGGCTTTTTCCCAGGGTGGAGGGGTCAATTACTGGGGGACACAAGTTCAAGGCACAAGGACTGAAATTTAAAAACAGATGTGTGAGGCATGTTTTTCACACATAGGGTGGTGAGTGCCTGGAACGCACTGCCAGAGGTGGTGGTGGTGGAAGCAGGCACAATAGCAGCATACAAGAAGTACCTGGACGAATACATGAATAGGAAGGGAATAGAGGGATACAGATCCTGCAAGTGAAGACAGTTTTAGCATGGAAGGGCAAAAATGTGTCAGTGCAGGCTTGGAGGGCCGAAGGGCCTGTTCCTGTGCTGTATTGTTATTTGTTCTTAAACATACTAACGGGAGGACAAGACAATAGCTGACAAACAGAGGCAGGGACAGCAGAAAAGCAAAAGAAAAAGCTTACAATGTGGTGAAGATCAGTGGGACGTCAGACGTTTGAGAAGCCTTTAAAAACCAGCAGGACAACTAAAAAAAGCAATAAGGGGAATATATGACAGTGAGCTAGCAAGGAATATCAAAGAAAATTACAAGAGTTTTGTTTGGAAAGGTAAGACAAAGGCAAGAGTGGACATTGGACTGCTGGAAAATGAGGCTGGTGAAGTAGTACTGGGGATCAAAATGACAGAGGAACTGAATAGGTATTTGCATCCATTTTCACAGTGCAAGATACCAGCAGTATACAAGAACTTTGAGAGTCAGGTGACAGGCGAATGTATTGGCCATCACTAAGGGGAAGGTGCCAAGGAAGCTGAAAGGGGTGAAGGTGGATAAATCACCCAGACTACATGGACTACAGTAGAGGACTCTTTAGAAGATAGCGGAGGAGACTGTGGAGGCGATAGTGATGATCTTTCAGGAATCAATGGAGTCAGGGAGAGTCGCAGAGGACTGGAAAATGGCTAACATAACACTTGCTTAAACAGGGAAGCAGAAGACAGGGAAATTATAAACTGGTCAGCCTGACCTCGGTCATTGGTAAGGTTTGAGAGTCCATTATTAAGGATGAGATTAAGGAGTACTTGGAAGTGCTTGGTAAGATAGGGAAAATACAGCACCGCTTCGTTAAAGGCAAGTCAAGCCTGACAACTCTTAAAATTCTTTGAGGAAGTAACGAGCAACTCAGACAAAGGAGTGCCAGTGGGTGTGACCTATTTGGATTTCCAGAAGGCTTTGACAAGGTACAGCACAGGAGACTGCTAAATAAAATATGAGCCCATGGTGTTAGGGGCAAGATACTGGCATGGATAAAGAATTGGCTGACTGGCAAAAGGCAGAGTGTGGGAGTAAAGGGGTCTTTTTCAAGATGGTAGCCAATGACTAGTGGAGTTCAGGTTCAGTTGGCAATTAGGAAGACAAATATAGCATCAATATACATTTCAGTAGGGCTAGAATACAAGTGCAGGGACGCATTGCTGACAGTGTATAAAACTCTGCATTTGGAATATTGAGAGCAGTTGTGAGCCTGTATCCAAGGAAGGATGTGCTGGCCTTGGAGGTGGTCCAGAGGACATTCACAAGAAGGATCCTGGGGATGAAGGGCTTGTCAAAAGATAACCAGTTGAAGACTCTGGGTCTGGGATTCCATCCGACAGGTCAGCAGCTGCTTTAGCGATGTGGTGCTTTTGGCCCGGCATCCAGTAGCCTGGGAATTCCTTTGGGCAGGTTTTGCAACATCTTTCTTCCTGGGATTGGCAACGAGGTGGGTCCTTGGGGGTGGCTTCCAGATTCTGCAGTCTTGCAGCCCGAGATTACAGGCATGGAATGCCTGCTTCGATGACAGCTTTTGGCCCCGTAATCCAGGGGCTCAGCATGGCAGACTTGCAGCGATACTGTCTTTTTCTGAACTCAAGAGCTATGAATTAAACTAAGATAGCCTTTGTTTTTTTTAAAATCTATGCCTTGTTACTCATATCAGTTCAATTTTTTGTGAAACCAAGCGACAATGAATGACTATTCAATTCAATAGAGTTTAGAAAGATGTGGATTGATCGCAATGAAACATATAAAATATTGAGAAGCCTGGACAGAGTTGACGTCAAGATGATGCTTCTACGAGTCGGAGAGACTAGGATCTGACAGCACAGTCACAGAATGGAGGGATGATCCTTCAGAACTGACACGAAGAGGAATTTCTTCTGCCAGAGGATGGTTAATCTGTGGAACTAGTTGCCACAGAGGGCTGCAAAGGCCAAGTCATTGAGCCGATTTAAGGCAGAGATAAATTCTTCATGGTAAGGGAATCAAGGGGTTGAGAAACATATCGGGCATGATCGAATGGCAGAGCACCTCTACCTCTCCACCCTCCACCTCTCCACCCTCCCTTCCCAACCCCTCAAGACAATTACTCACCCTCACCATCCACTACTTCCTCCCCCCATAAACCCTACCCCTTCCTCACTCACCCATTCAAACCCCAGACTCTTCCCCCTCCCTCACCACCCTGACCATTACTCCTCAAGCCCACCCGTCAACACTGTCCGTCCATCCCTGATACCCATCTCATAACACCCCCCAGTACCCACCCCTCTCCCTTACCCTTCCCCCATCCATCCACCATCACCCTACCCCAACCATTCCACACTCCCACAATTATCCTCACCCCTCCCCTCCCCTCATAACCACACTTCAATTCTCCAATGACCCTCAGCCCGCCTCTTGCCACCCACTACTGTCACCTAGTCCCCCTCCCCACCCCGGTCTCCTCCCCTCACTACCCCGCCCCGGTCTCCTCCCCTCACTACCCTCCCCTTCCCTGATTAACCCCCTCACCGTTCTCTTGCAGACCCTCCAGCCGGTGTCGTCCCTGCTGTAACCCAGCAGTTTCTCAGCCACCGTGTCCGCCACCGCTCTGTAATTCATCCCGCCCGCAGACAGCGGCGTTTCCACGAGGGGACAGGCAGCGAAAGCAGCGGTGGGGGACCGATCCTGGCCTGAACCCCGTGCAGGCCAGGCGGCCTCCCTGCAGGAGGAGCGCCCGCCGGCACCAACCAAGTGGCCGGCCGGCCGGCAGGCTGGAAGACTCGCACTGTACACTGGGACTTGTAGTCCAAGCGCGGACCCTGCCGCAGGTGTTCCTGTCAGAGCGGAAACACCAGGACTACAACCCCCATCAGGCCACGCAACAGGCCCCCGGTCCGCTGTGATTGACAGACAGCACAGCCAATCATCGGTGAGCCACGTGCCGAGCTGGCTGCTGCAGGGAGTGTTTGCATTGCAGGGCGTTAGAGAGAGGGTAAGGCTGCGTGCAGAACCACTCCTACCTGAGAACAACACTTAGCTCACTCAGAGCCTTGGTTCACTGTCAATTGCACACTTGCAGAAGTGCTCGCTCGTCATTGCAGCACTGGTTACTCATTCTTATTACTCATTGTTGTACTGATGGTGCCACTCATTTCCAGCCATTCAGTTTGCTGCTCCACTTCTTCCTAAAGAAACTCAGCACTCTCCTGATTGTCACCATTCAAATAATTGTAGTGCATTTCTCAGATTTGCAGCATCCACTGTATTTAGCTTTTATTCAATAAAAGGTATGTTCAGTCAATAGCAGAGCTTATTTTGAGCAGCTTCAGTCCACACAAGCAAAATTCATGAGAAATACACCTCAAACTAAAGAGAGAAATGTATACTTTTTAATTAATCAGATGTTTAGTGCATTGCACATACCATATATATTTAAAAGTATTTAGATTTTTCCAAAAAATGAATGATAGATGTTTTTGCACTTGTCTGGTAGCAGGTAGTTTTAGAACATGGGCATCCAAGCTATGAGGTAAGGACACTACTAATGTGCCACACAAGTTCCACTGTTTAAACTATGCCTGTGAATCTAACTGAGTAATGAACTCTCAGCCAACAAACATGAGTGCTACATTCTTGAATCATAGAATCCCTACAGTGTGGAAACAGGCCCTTCAGCTCAACAAGTCCACACTGACCCTCACAGCATCCCACCCAACTATAACCCACCTAATCTACACATCCCTGAATACTATGGACAATTTAGCATAGCCAATCCACCCAGCCTACACATCTTTGGACTGTGGGAGGAAACCAGAGCAGCTGGAGGAAACCTATGCAGACACAGGGAGAATGTGCAAACTCCACACAGCCAATCGCTTGAGGATGGAATCAAACCCGGGTTCCTGGCGCTGTGAGGCAGCAGTGCTAACCACTGAGCCACCGTGCCGCCCTTCTCTGAGGTGCTGTTTTTTAAACAAGGCATTGAATCAACATACTCTCTGCCATCTCAGATGGATGTAAAATATCCCATTGCACCATTTAAAGAGCAGCAAAGTTATCCCATTCCTCTAGTCAATAATTACTTCCTCAACAATTCCATGAAAGAAAATTTTGTTCATGTATCATATTGCCATTTGTGGGACTGTGCTGGAAGTGAACTGTCTGTTGTGTTTTCTTAAAGTAAATAGAGACAGCACTTCAAAAATATGGCTATATGGCACATTGGTCCCGAGGTTGTAAATCCCACTTTATAAATGAAAGTCTCCAAATTAACAAAACAATGTAGAAACATTGAGAATTGCAAAAACAAAAATGCAAAGATGGTAGCAGAACTGGGGTATAATTATGAAGAAAGACTGAACAAACTAGGGCTCTTTCCCATAGAAAAAATAGCAAGAAGTGATCTGATAGAAATATTTAATGGAGTTGTTGGTTGGTTCACCGAGCTGACTGGTTTTCGTGCAAATGTTTCATCCCCCTTCTAGGTGACATCATCAGTGCTTTCTAGCCTCCATTTAACCTCTGTTGTTCTGCTGTGTTCTGAATTTATATGGCCCAGTCTGTCAGGGTGGGTGGTTCTGTTTCTGGTTTTGCTCCGGAGTGGTACATAGATGGAGAATATTTCAACATGTTTGTTTATGGTACCAGTGGTTGAAAACCAAACTTCCAGAAATTCCTGTGCTTGTCTTTGTTTTGCTTGTCCTAGTACTGTTACGTTGTCCCAGTTAAACTGATGTCCTTCTTTGTCGGAGTGAATAGAAACGAAGGAGAATTGATCGTACCGTTTTGCTGCGAGTTAGTTGCTGTTGCTGTATGGTACTTTGTACTGACTACAAGACTCGCACGACCCCTTGGAATAATGATAGCACACAACAGCCACACTTTGCCAGCTACTCTCAAAGATGAAAGACCCCATATCCACAAAGAGCAGGATGAATGTGATATACAAAATCCTATGCAACAACTGCGAGAAGCAATACATACTATATAGGTATACAGGAGGTATACAGCATGGAAACAGGTCCTTCGGCCCGGCTCCTCCATGCCAAACAGGTTTCCTAAACTGAAAGAGTCCCATTTGCCTGCGTTTGGCCCATTTCCCTCTAAACCTATCCTATCCATGCACTTGTCCAAATGTCTTTTAAATGTTGTAATTGAACCCACCTCTACCACTTCCTACGGTGGTTCATTTCATGTATGTACCACCCTCTGTGTGAAAAAATTACCCCTCGGATCCCTTTTAAATCTTTCCCTCTCACTTTAAGCCTATGCCCTCTACTTTTCAACTCCCCTACCCTGGGAAAAAGACTTTGGCTATTCACCTTATCTATGCCCCTTGTGATTTTGTAAACCCCTATAAGGTGACCCCTCAGCCCTCTACGCTCCACTGAAAGAAGTCCCAGCCTATCCAGCCTCTCCTTAAAACTCAAACCCTCCAGTCTCAGTAACATTCTTGTATATCTTTTTTGCACCCTTTCCAGATTAATAATATCCTTCCTATAGCACAGCGATCAGATTGTATACAGTATTCCGAATGTGGTTTTACCATGTGGTCTTGTACAACTGTAACATGACATCCCAACTCTTGTATTCAATGCTGTGACCAATGAAGGCAAGGATTCCAAACACCTTCTTCACTACCCTGTCCACCTGTGATTCTACTTTCAAGGAACTATGTACCTGTACCCCTAGGTCTCCCTGTTCGACAACACTCCCCAGGGCCCTACCATTAACTGTGTAAGTCCTGCCCTGGTTTACCAAAATACAACACCTTGCATTTATCTGAATTAAACTCCATTTGCCATTCCTTAGCCCACTGGTCCAGTTGATCAAAATCCCATTGCACTCTTCTTCACTGTCCATTGTACCACTATTTTTGGTGTCATCAACTTCCTGACAATGCTTCCTATATTCTGAGCCTTATCGTTTATATAAATGACAAACAGCAGTGGACCCAGCACTGATCCTAGCGGCACACCGCTTGTCACAGGGTCCCCAATTGGAAAAATAACCCTCTACCACCACCTTCTGACTCCTACCATCAAGCCACTTTTGAAAGTTCTTGTGTAATACCACCAAAATTCTTTTGTGCCAGCTCATATAGCCCACAATTTTTAAATATTTCAAAAAGCTATGCCTCCTCTTTAAATACATTCCATGATCTAGCCTCCACAACTTTCTGAGGTAGAGAAATCCAGACATCTACTACCTTTGAGAGTAGAAATTCCTTCACGTCTTCATGGTGGCTCAGTGGTTAGCACAGCACCAGGGGCCAGGGTTCAATTCCAGCTTCAGGTGGCTGTCTGTGTGGAGTTTGCATGTTCTCCCTGTGTCTGTGTGAGGTTTCATTCCATAGTCTGATATTACGCTAGTTAGGTCAATTGGCCATGCTAAATTGTCCTGTGGTGTGTAGGCTAGGTAGATTGTGGGAAACGCAGGGTTATGGGGATAGGGTGGGATGTCCTTTTGGGGGTTGGTGCAGACTTGATGGGCCAAATGGCCTCATTCCACAGTGTAGGGATTCTATGAGACAAGAGAGCTGTAGCCCAAGTTGCAGAGAATGGCTACATTCATTTACTTGTGTCTTGGGATTGTTAAGCCTTTCTCATGTGTCACATTTTTCCTGCCTCTTTATCTAATCAATCATAGCTAAATGGTGGCATCTTAATAAACTACTTTAAAATCACTTAAGGCAGGAGAGAAGCTTGAGAAGGGGTGGCACAGTGGTGCAGTGATTAGCCTGCTCCCTCACACTGCGAGGGACCCAGGTTCAATTCCACCCTCATACAACTGTCTGTGGGAAGCTCGCACATTCTCCCTGTGTCTGCCTGGGTTTTCTTTGGGTGCTCTGGTTTTTCTCCCCAGTCCAAAGATGTGCAGGTTAGGTGGATCGGCCATACTAAATTGCCCATAGTGTCCAAAGATGTGCAGGCTAGTGGATTAGTAGGGTCGCAGAGACAGAGTTGAGGGGTGGTCTTGGTGGGATGCGGTTTGGAGGGTCATTGTGGACTTGATGGGCTGAATGGCCTGTTTCCGCACTGTAAGGAATCTATGAGATGAGATTTGATTGAGGTATGCGAAATGATGAGAGGTCTTCACCATTGGTGCAGGGATCAAGAACTAGGTAGTACAGATTCAAGGTAATTTTCTAAAGAAGAAATAATATATGGCAAAAGACGTTTTTCATGCAGTGAGTGGTTAGGATGTGGAATACACTGTGTGAAAGAATGATAGAGGCATTTTCAATTGCGGCAGTCAGGAGGGATTTGAATTATTAACTAAAAAAGAAGAATGTGCAAAATAACAGCAAGAAGGTGGGGGGAGTGGTGTTAGGTGTGCTGCTCTTTTGGAGAAACTGTACAGATAAAATGGGCTGAATGGCCTTCTTCTGTGCTGTAACAGTTCTGTAATTCTGGATAATCCTGGGGAGGGGCGTTAATGCCATGATTCGATTCGTAAAGTCCAATTCGATTAAAAACCTATTACCAGTCCTCAAGGCAACTGCAGATAAAATTCTGCCCATTGTTCGAGAATTTCACTTGAGCATTGAGGCCTGAAATTCCTCTGTCACCCTCAGAAATAGCTGAGATTCTGTGGATTTGCAATGCTCCTGTATGATTAATAACAATGCAGCATTTTGTGCCATATGTTTGATTAGTGTAAGGATTTTGTTTGCTGTAAGAAAAGCAACAACGATTCTTTGCTGCTTCAGAAGAAGCTAATGAGCCACTTCAGGTGTGCAAATACTGAGAGCTCTGTTTATGCAGCAGTGGAGATGTATAATTGTAATAGGAAATGAATAAACAATGGCAGAGATAGTTCTGAATGTATGTAGGAGGCAGTGTTTATACTCAAGCCTTGGTACTTGTTTGCTCTCTGCTCATGAGTCTTTGAAGTGTGACTGACACAGGAAGTTCATCTTTGACACTTCTGAAATAGTTCCTTCTTATCCAT